GTCACACACTGGGCTAAGTACAGCCCCATTTCTGTCTCATGTGAGTAAGAACTCAGCCATATTTGCCATCTACAGCTGTGTGTGGCTGTTGTCACATTGCTGTGGCGGAATCGAGTGGTGAGACAGTGACCATGGTGACCTTTGCAGATTGAGGTGATTGAGGTTCTGGCCCGTTTCTTACATGTTTTCCTTATTCCTGCTTTTTGATCCATTCAGTATGGTCCCCATGGTTCTAATTAGTTTCTTTTGATTCTTGTTTTCAAATTGTTGTTTTTAAGTTATAAACTCGGGGGCTTTTCAGTTCCCTGGAAAGTGTGTGGTGCACCCACCCACCCTCCAGAGGTAGCGGTGACATTGGGCGCTGTGGTAGTACAGCAGGGTCACATCTTTAATCCCTGTCCTCAGCCATAGGCAGGCACATAGCACAGGCGCTGTCACAGCTACTGAGCCACAAATTCTGTGATAAAATTCACAAATTCTTAGACGTACACTGGCAGTGAAGCACAGCGGTAGAGTGCTAGCCTAGCTCGTGCGAGGACCTGGGTCTCATCCCTAACACAGGAAACAGGCAGCACCCCACACAGCAGCACAGCCCCACCAGGACTTGACTCCAGAGTCACAGTAGGCTAGATGTGCAGTGTACCCCAGTGTGTCAGACTTCAGGAGGCTGAGGCAGGAGGATCACATGCTTTAAGTCAGTTCATTGACTTACAGAGACCACATCTCACAAAAAGAAGATAAGGTTTTTAGAGTTCAATGATTAGACGGATGTTAGGAACAGTAGTGGTTTTCCGAGTAGACTATACTGGAAACCCCTGTGATAATAAACAGACATTACAGCAAGCCTGCCGCCCTCCAGCAAAACAGCGTACCCAGTTCGTCAAGTACAAGGAAAAGACCCAAGACTCTGAGATACAGGAAGGACTCAGTCAGCAGGTCTGACTTGGCTCTGCAACACAGCAAAGTGCACAGCACATTGGAAAAGTAAAAGCGTGTCTGACTTTTTCTATTGTATGATTGTTCTCTGTGCTGAACGTGGGCTTTCAATATGCCTTAACCTAATGAAATCGTTCTTGCTTTCTTCCAGCCATGGTCTGAAAAAGTTCTTCAGTTGCCGTGGGATAGCAATTGCAGTTGAATATTTTTGGAAGCTTGGCAACAGAAACATCACTGTGTTTGTCTCACAGTGGAGAACAAGGCGCGATCCTAATGTCACAGGTGAGGCCCAGTGACTTTTCCATATTTCTGGTTAGGTATTCAATGAACTGGCTTCAAATTGCAACACAGGGTACTTAGAATAGTATCACACATGTGGGCAACAGATTGAATGACGAAATTCTAAATTGGTTCTGTCTGGTAAAATATCAGTTGAAAACTCGGTGTGGTGGTACACACCTGTAATGTACTCAGGAAGGAGTAGAGGACCAGAGCCGCCCTTGGCTACACGGTAGAATTTTTGAGGCTGGCCTGGGATAGACATGCCTCTCAATTGAGGAGTGTTGTAGTATAAAAGGGAGTGGTTAGGAAGGGTGGAAGGCTAGCATTGCTGTTAGAAGTTAAGTGTGTCCACTAGGTTGGGATTCAGAATATTTAAATAATGTTTCTTTAAAATAGTTACTTGGCCAGTTTTCTGTCCTCAGATAATGTCTTTTCAGTAGTCTGATGGCTTCTTAGGAATCATTTCTGTTTGCCATGTAGTACTTTGTGCATAACCTACAGGCCCCACACAGGCAAGTTTTCCATCATTGAGGTGTAGCCCCAGCCCCCCTTCTGCCTCTTTCATTAGATGGACCTCGGGTTTAGTCATCTTCCACCTCGGTTACTACCTCTACTTCATGGATCTTGTCTTTTTATCTCATACTCAGGCTATTTCTTCAGCTTTGTCTTCTCCTCCAGTCCTGTCTAGTCTACCTTATGTCCTTAGAGTTTCCATAAGTTCCTTTGGAAAAGCACTTCATTTGTATGTTCCCAAAGTTTATTGATCTTTGGTTATCTTTTATTTCTTTTGTCCTTTTATCCAGCTCTATTCTTTATCTATACTTGACAGCCTTGCAGTGTGTACCTATTATCTATTATTTCTTCTGTCAAAGCAGCTCCTCATGGATTTGGTGACTTTTAAATTCTGGGTTCGGGTGGAACTGTGCAGACTGTAGTATCTGGTCCATGAATTTGAATCTTTCTCCACCACATACCATCAGTGTGGATTTCACTTCTCTGTCTTCAGTTCCCAATTCATAAAATTATGCCAGCATCATGAGGGGATTTGAAAACATCTTAGGCTACTTTGTATTGCTGAAAGAAAATGCCCGAGTCTGGGTATCTGTATCATAGTGCATTTGATATAGTATTCAGGTGCCTGAAGGATGGAAAGACTATGGCTGTTGTGTTCTAGTCTTCCTGGATGTGTTACCAGTGGCAGAGAACCGCAAAGAGAACTGGCCACGTGTAGGGTGAAGTTGCAGTGAACCAGATATGTATCGTCAGTCTGGACTACATGAGATCTTGTCCTAAAGCTAACTAAATCAATTAATTAAATAAACAGGCATATTGATAGTCTGTGTCTTGAATATTTTGGGGTTGTATGTCTTTAGAGGTGTCTTTAGTCCCGGATAACCTGAACCTGAAGAAGGCAGATGAAGCAGTTTTCCTTGGAGCCTGTTTGGTTTTGTGCCGTGCACACATACCAGTCCCGTAATAGTGCCCTTGGCAGTCTATTTCCTTCACCTGCGTGTGCTGTGCACATGTACCCCCCTCCACCCCGGCAGCCTCAGAACCCTCAATCCCCAACTGCATCAGGCTCTACCACTCCATCTCTGAACGGACGCGTTAGTTTCTACCCCAGTAATAATCAAATTGAGACAGCACAAGTGTGTTCCCAACAGCTGGGGAGACTGGAAGAGCCAATCTGGCCTGAACTGGCTTTGGGAGCATGCACAGTAAGGCAAAATCATGTCCTTTAGTAACGTTTTAGGGAGAGCCCCTGTTTACTATCTTGCACCCATGCTTAGCTAGGTGTGCAAATGATTAAAATCAGACTCATTAAGAGAAGGAACATGCACAGTAGAAAAATGAATTTGCAGCCTCCTCTATCATTTAAAAGGACCACCACAACCATGGCCCTTAATAACAAGCATGGCCCTTAGTAACAACCATGGCCCTTAGTAACCAGTCTCTTCTTCCTGTAGAGGCCATGAAAAAAAGACCCTATACTGTAGCCTGGGGCCCTTGAGAGCTAATTCAGGGTTTTGTGCATACAAGCCAAGGTATAAGGTCTTGTTAATCACCCTGGCTGGTCTGCTACCTGCTGTATGTTACACAGCGTACTCCTAACATTTTTTAAATTGAAAAGCATTTTAATTAAAATAGACCCCGTTTTCTCCTTTTCTGTGCTCCTTCCAATCCAGGATGTGTTCCCTACCTCAAACTTCTCCTATGTTCCCTTCTTACTGCTTCTTAAATCAATGGCCTCTTTGTGATGATCATTGTTACATGTATTTATATAAATGCATAAATATATAGCTACAACCTGCTGAAATTAGTGTGGCTTCTGTGTACGATTTCAGGGTTGACCCCTTTGTGTTTGGGTAACCAGTTAGGGGAATCGTTCCTGGGAAAGAATAATTCTCCCTCTGTTAACAGTCATTTGTTTCCTGTAGCTCTTTGCATTGGGTAGGACCCAGTGATAACTCCCCTACTGAGTTAGGATGTCTGTTGATGTTGTCATTGCTCAGTCTTTGTTCAGCAGTCATACTTTTAATGTATGATCAGCGAAGCTTCCCTGTCATTTCTAGGACGTGGTTTCAGCAGACCTCCTGGTTCTCTGACTCTTGCAATCTCTCTGGGTCATTCACTGAGCCTTAAGTACACGGGTTACATTGTAAATGTATCTGTTGGCATGTTGCATGATCTGTTGATCTTGCATTATAATCTGTTATGATTTTTTGTTGGCCCCCATTTGCTGTGAAGATTCTAACATTTATGTTGTTCTATTTACCAACAGACTTGGGAGTTAAATGTTGGGGTGAAAACCTGCTACCTCAGAGGAGCTGAGATGCAACCAGCTGGCCTTCTTTCCAGCCAGAGACCCAGCAAGAGAAGCATCTCTCCACACCGTTCCAAACCAAAAGGGACTATGAATCTCTAAGCCCTCCCTTCTTCCCATGCATCTTTCTCTCTGTCTTCTCAGGTCCTCTGTACTCTCTATTGTTAATTCTTGCCAACTAGTCATTGACTCTGAACCCTGATCCAAGGTTAACTTTATTGACACAGTCTTGGAGTGTCACAGTGTGACCAAATATCCCACAGCATTTTCTCGTCTCCTTTGTCTAAATAAAAAGGAAAGGTTCTAACTCTGACACAGCAAAACTATACACAATAAGAACCATTATCAGATATGAATTACGTTCATAATGCCTAGTCCACTGGTTTTTTGGCAGATTCAGAGGAAGTGCTCTATTGTCTACAGTGGTGGGGCTGTAAGGCCCTTGGGGCCAGGGTAAAGACACTGAGGGACCTCGGTGGGAGAAGCTGCCCACAGAGTGACTGTGGGCAGTGGGGAGAATTGGTGGCTTCAGAAGTTGCTGTGCAATCTTGTGCCATGCGTTGGATGCCAAATGTTGTTTTTGTGTAAGTTGTCCTATTTACCAATAAAGATTCAGGAGTCAGAAGTTGGGATGGAAATGTACTAGATCAGAGAAGCTGAGAAGCAACCAGCTGACCTTTCTTTTTGGCCAGAGGCCAAGCAACAGAAGCATCTCTTTGCTTGTCCCAAACCAAAAAGTCCACGAATTTCTAAGTCCCTCCCTTGTCCTTCCTGTGAGCTCTCTGTCTTCCCAGGCCCTGCGTATTCTCTATGACTTAATTCTTGTCAGCTTGTCACTGGCTCCGCCCTCTGATCCAAGGTTAATTTTAGAAACACAGTCTCAGAATGCGACCAAATGTCCCACAACATGTTTAAATATTTAAAATTTGAAAACCATTTTATTTTATTTTATTGCCTGACTGGATATCTGTGCACCACACATGTGCAGTGCCCTTGGTGGTCAGAAGAGGGCACTGGATCCCCTGGAACTATCATCAGAGATGTTTGTGTGCTGGGAGTTAAGCCTGCGTCCTCTGGAAAAGTGGCCAGTGTTAACTGCTAAGCCATCTTTCCAGGCCCTTCTAACTTAAAATTTTTATTTATTATTATTATGTGTATGATGGGGACCTGTGTGCCACAGTGCACATGTAGAAGTCAGAGTACAACTTTGAGGAGTTGGTTCTTCCTTAATTTACCTTTCTGTGGGTTCTGGAAACCAAACTCAGGACATCAGGTTTGCCCAGCACGTGCTCTACACACTGAACTCTCTCACTAACCGCTCATTGTTTCTTTTGCAGACAGGGTTTCTCTGTAGTCCTGGCTTCCTGGAACTGTCTCTGTAGACCAGGGTGCATATTACACAAGCACTCTAGGAACTAAACCACACCCTAGTCTGTTCTCCAGTGCAATCTTATCTTTATTTGCCTCTTGTCACAACCCTTGTAAACTTATGTTGAAGACACTGAAATTTAGAATCTAATTATCTATTTTGGGATTTTGGAGACAGAGACTCAGTGTGTAACAAAGGTTGACCTGGAACTACAGGTCCTCTTGCCTCAGTTTCCTATGCACTGGGATTACAGGTACACACCTCTTGCAATCTGAAGGTTGGGGTAGAAACATACATTCTTTAGGGAGAGATGCCATTCAACTCACAGCAGCGAATAACCAAGCATGTCAGTGACCGGAGACTCCCTGTCCCGTGGGAGTGGCATGGAGAGACAATGACTCGCATCGTGTCTGTTTTCTAGATGTTAGATGCCCTCCAAACCTTGGGAACTCAGAGGAAGCCCAAGAGAAAGGACAGAAGTTTCCCCTTCTGATTGAGGTGAAACCCTCATCTCTCTGAAGAGGGGGTTTGAACTAGTCATGAAGCTCAATGACAGGATACACGTTACCAAGCCAACGGCAACGCTTTTGCTATATTCTGCTTCTCTACCACATTAGCTTCCTATTGTACTGAGGCCAGTACATGCAATTTCCTTTAAGCCAGCAGATCTAAAATTTATTTTTGTCTCCAGCCCAATTAGGAGAAAATCGGGATTCCACCTGCTCCCACTTCCCGGTAGAAGACAGTTAGGTGATAAAAATGGAACGATGTCCTAAAACCATCTGAAAAGCTAGGGAGATTGCAAGTACATCTGTTTTGACTTCTGTTCCATGCAATGCATACATAGCTTAAAGCCCATTTATTGAACAATTATAGGCCAAATCTCTGCTGAAACAGATGTGTCATTAAACACTGTGGGGCTTGCCAAACAGCCCACAGCCGGGGAACTTGACAACGCAAAGCCGAGCCTGTAGCATGAGCTGAGCAAAAAGCGCAGCAGTGGGAAGATAATGGTCAAGTCACAACAACGTAAGGACAGAATGGCCTTCCAGAGCCTTCTAGAAACTTCTCTTGTCAGCAACACCCCTGTGCACTGCGGTACAGTCCTGTCTGCTGGTCAGATGTCCTAGCAGGACACCTGTTAAACAGTCTATTTTTGTCAGTGGTGGTGGTGCATGCCTTTAATTCCAGCACTTGGGAGGCAGAAACAGGTGGATTTCCATGAGTTTGAGGTCAACCTGGCCTACAGAGTGAGTTCCAGGACAAGCCAGGGCTACACAGCGAAACCCTGTTTCAAAAAACAAAACAAGTCAATTTTATTCTTGAAAATTTTTAGTACATATCTTTTAATTAATTAATAAATTAGTTAATTTTCAACTTGATCACAGTTTCCCCTCCCTCCCTCCTCTCTTTCCAGTCCTTTCCCCAACCTCCCTTCTTGCTCTACCATCTACTCATTCTTTCTCTTCAGGGAAGGCCAAGCCTCCCATGTATATCAAGTTGCAGTGAGACTAGGCTTCCCCACTCCTATTAAGGCTGGATGAAGCAACCAAGCAGGAGAAAAGGGTCCCAAAATCTGGCACCAGGTCAGAGCTACCCCTTTCTCCCACTGTTAGGAGTCCCACAAGAAGACCAAGCTACACAACTATAACATATATGCAGAGGGCCCTAGGTCCGTTGTGTGCAAGATCTCTTCTCTGGTTGGTGGTTCAGTCTCTGTGAGCTCCTATGAGCCCAGGTTACTTGATATATGTTTGTGTGTGTGTGTGTGTGTGTTATCCTTGGCCCCTCTGGCTCCCACAGTCCTCCCTTCCCCTCTTCCACAGGATTTTCCAAGATTTACCTAATGTTTGGCTGTGGGTCTTTGCATTTGTTTCCATCAGTTGTTGAGTGAAGCCTCTCTGACAGCAATTGGACTAGGCAACAATTTATGAGTATAGTAGAATATCTTTAGGAATCATTTTATTTACTCTTTTGTAATTGCTAGTCATGTTTGGGTCTATTTTTGGTCTCTGGGTTATCTAGCCTCTGGGTCCTGGTCCTCCAGGCAGTGACAGGGGTGGGCTCCCTCTCATGGCATGGGTCTCAAGCTGGACCAGTCATGGTTGGTCATTCCCATAATTTCTGCACCACCTTTACCTCAGCACATCTTGTAGGCAGGGCAAATTGTAGGTCGGAGATTATGTGGCTGGATTGGTGTTCCAACCACTCTCTGCAAGTCTTGCTGGGTTATAGAAGATGGCTGCTGATTCAGGCTCTGTACTCCCCAGGAGTCTTAGCTAGGGTCACCCTCACAGAGTCCTGAGTTTCCACTGCATCAAGTTTCTAGTTCATTCCAGAGATGCCCACTGATTCCAGCTGCCTTTCCAGTATTTTCTCCCTCCATCTCCCCCCCCCATGGAATCTCTCCTGTTTCCATGCCCACCCGCCCATCCAGATCCTTCCCCCTCCATCTGCGATATCTATTCTATTTCCCCTCACAGTGAGATTCGCGTTCTCTCCACCCCAGCCCTCCTTGCTACTTAACTTCTTTGGGTCTGTGGATTGTGGCATGATTATCCTCTACTTCATGGCTAATATCCACCTATAAGTGAGTACATACCATGCTTGTCTTTCTGGGCCTGGGGTACCTCACTTAGGATGATCCTTTCTAGTTCAATCCATTTGCCTGAAAATTTCATGATTTATTGTTTTTAACAACTAAGTAATACTCCATTGTGTAAATGTACCACATTTTCTTTATCCATTTTTTGGGTTGATGGACATCTAGGTTGTTTCCAGTTCCTTGCTATTGTGAATGAAGCTGTTACGAGCATAGTTGAGCAAGTGCCCTTATGGTATGGTGGAGCATCCTTTGAATATATGCCCAGGAGTGGTATAGCTTTGTCTTGAGGTAGGTCAATTTCCAGTTTTCTGAGAGATTGCCACATTGATTTCCAAATTGGCTGCATAAGCTTGCACTCTCATTACCAGTGGAGGAGTGTGTCTCTTTCTCCACATCCTCGCCAGTAATGTGTAAGTAACAGTAAGTAAGCTGTCACTTGTGTTTTTGATCTTAGCCATTCTGACGGGTGTAAGATGGAATCTCAGAGTCGTTTTGATTTGCATTTCCCTGATGACTAAGGATACTGAACATTTCTTTTTTTATTACTTTAAAAAACTACCGATCCAAATTCCCACTTCTTCCCCTCCACCCACTCACCTCCCACTCCCTCCGCTCACCCTTACCCTACCCCCCCTCCAATCTTAAGAGAGGGCAAGACACCCTAGCCTGTGGAAAATCCAAGGCCCTCCCCACTACATCCAGGCTGAGCAAGGTATACATCCAAAGAGAATAGGATGTCAAAAAGTCAGTACATCATGCAGTAGAGACAAATCCCAGTACCATTGTCATTGGCCCCTCAGTCTGCCCCAACTGCCAACCACATTCACATGGACGAGTTTGATCCCATGCTCCTTCATTCCCAGTCCAGTTGGAGTTGGTGAGCTCCCATTAGCTCAGACACACTGTCTCAATGGGTGAACCCCTCATGGTCTTGACTTTCTTGCTTATACCCTCCGTCCTTCCACTCTTCAACTGGAGCTCAGTACAGTGCTCCGATGTGGGTCTCTGCCTCTGTTTCCATCAGTTGTTGGATGAAGGTTCTATGATGATACTTAAGATAATCATCAGTCTGACTACAGAGCAAGGCCAGTTCAGGCACCTTCTCCTCTGTTGCTTAGGGTCTTAGCTGGGGTCATCCTTGTGGATTCCTGGGAATTTTTCTAGAGCCAGGTTTCTTGCTAACCCCAAAATGACTCCCTCAATCAAGAAATCTCTATCCTTGCTCTCATATCTGTCCTTCCTCCATCTCAACTATCCCATTCCCCCAAGTTCTCTCCAACCCTTCCGTTCTCCCCTTTCTTTTACCCCAGCCCCATGCTCCCAAATTTTGTCAGGTGATCTTGTCTGCTTCAAATTTCCAGGTGGATCTATATATATTTTCTTTGAGTTCACCTTATTACTTAGCTTCTCTAGGATCATGAACTATAGGATCAATGTCTTTTGTTTATGGCTAGTATCCACTAATGAGTGAGTACATACCATATTCTATATTTTTGGGTCTGAGTTATCTCACTCAGGATAGTGTTTTCTAATTCCATCCATTTGCATGCGAAATTCAAGATGTCATTTTTTTTCCCACTGAGTAGTACTCTAGTGTGTAGATGTGCCACACTTTCTTTATCCATTCTTCCGTTGAGGGGTATCTAGGTTG